AGAAGCTGACTGCAATGATGACAATGGTGGTGAAAACAACAACTCCCATGATCCCACATTTGTATGACCCTACTGCACACATTTCAGTCTCATATTACTCAATATACTCAGTGTTAAAACCAAGCTATTACCTGGTAATTACATAATACTTATATTACTTAAAGTATTACTTGTGTTTTTTGGGACCACAGAGAGGTCAGGTTTCAACAGACGCTCATTAGAGTAGCTCCTCCTGGCTTCTCTTTTTTTGGGAGAGCCGCCATGAGGGGGGTCGTCTTTTAATTTGCCTTCTCGCTGAATTTATATTTTATTTCAACATTCCCTTGTGAAGTATTTAAAAAGACTGATTTTGTGTGCACCACAGCACATAAAGGTGTCAGTGTCGAGAGCAGACGTGGGTTTTAATAAGCAGTTATCAATGGTTGAATGTTATCTCTCCACCGAGCGCCTCATTTTTCACCCGCCTGCAGCAGCACCACCTTCGTTTTACTTCTGAACAGAAAGCAGTACTACATTAAAATGTAAAATGTGAAACATTTTAGCTTAAAAAATGATGGATGTTGCAGGTATGTGTTTTTAGGCCATCTCAAAAAAAAAAAGCTCACCTGCATCTGTTTGATCTTTGTGAGGAGAATCTGCAATTTAAGTTCACTTTAATGCACTTTTAATGCAATGGTTTACTTTGTTTGCTGTCTTTGAGGTGAATTCTGTGAGTTGTTTGAACTGGGGAAACTCTGATTGACTAGACATTAATAAATGACCAATCAATAGTGAGCGGGTAGTTCACAGCCAATCGGGAGAAAGACAGAGCGAGGCTGACAGAGAGAGAGAGAGAGAGAGAAAGAGAGAGAGAGAGAGGTTTGAGGTAAATTGAAATGTTCAGTGGAAATTGGTTGTTTCCTCAAGACAAGTGGAGAAAACACTGGAAAATGACAGAATCTTTGTGTGTGTGTGTGTGTGTGTGTGTGTGTGTGTGTAGTAATTATATCAGCAGTCAGGGTTGATGGATGATTGAGGTTCTATCTGCAGCCCGAGGCCCTGAACGCACCTCAGCACTATTAATCTGACATCACTACACTGTGTTGTGTGTGTGTGTGTGTGTGTCGACTGCAGTTTGAAGAAAGTTTCAGTATCAAACTGACTTCGCTTTGGGAGTCAGTCGGTACGGAAGGCCATTAATGCCAAGACAATTGACTGATGTTTAACGGCGGTGCAAAGATTTTTTCTTACACACGAGTTCCGACTCCACATGTGTGTTTACTACGTGTTTGATGAATTAAAAATTGTTGTGATTGTATGCAAAGTCGATGGAATGAAAGATTCACTCTAAAGGCCTTTACACAATGGGAGCGAGACGAATAAATGACACGAAAATGCCACATGTTGCGACACAATCACATAGGTTTCACATGGGAATGTACATGTGTTTCACAAATTACACCACAAAAATGTCCCAAAACTAAAATCATTGTTGTTGTAGGCCTGAACTGATTCTTCATCTCCAAGTCTCCCTATAGGTTAGTTATGAATTCCAAATCCAAAAACAAAGAAAAGTCTTGAAGGAAAATAGAGAATTTAACAGTGCATGGACCAATTTGTGCTGCTGGCTCACCGGCATGTTCAATCTGCGGTGAGAAATTAGCATTATAAGACTCAAATATGTTTTCCGGCTCTTGGCCAAAAATGGCTCTTTTGATTGTAAAGCTTGCTGAATGCTGGTTTAAACACTTTAAATGCAGAAATGTTACATATTATAGCTTTAAACTGGACCACGGCAGCCAAAGCTGTTCACAACTACACCGAAACACATCCGCTAGCTTGTCGCTAATGCTGAATGTAAAGCTACTGTAGCAGGAAAAGTTATTGAAGATATGTGGGGTTATTTAGATACAAGCCACCAGCCTGTGTTAAAGCACAATTAAGTCTAGACCATATGTTTTACAATTTGTGGCCTGAAGTGTTGAAGACTTTGACATTTTGGTAAAAACAACAAAGTTCCTGTGAAAGCGTGCTCATTATACAGAAATCAATCTCAGTGAATAGGTGCCCCCCTTTCGCAAGTCTTATTTGGTGTGAAAAGACTTTAAAGGTTCTAAATGTGTCGGATAATAATAATAATTAAACAGTCAGGCTTCAGCACCTACGCTGCATTTCAGTTTGCACGAATTCACTTGAATGCAACACCTCTCTCCTCTCCGCGTCTCTAATGAGTGGTTTCAGTCTCCTGTTGTAATAAAAGGTTTGTGAGACAGAAAATGAAACCTTCTGTTCTCCTTCTGCCACACTGTAATGTGTGTGTGTGTGTG